GGAGCACCTGCATAGGCAGGGGTGATCTGGCTGGAGTCCTGGGCATCAGTTCTGCATGCTGTCTGTACTGGACTCCCAAGGAGAGTTGGCACGGAATTTTGCAGGGCTGGAAAGAGCCCCACCCTCCTCCTGACAGCGTCCCCACGCTCCTCCCTGCCCTGCCACGGCTGCTACCTGTCTTGTCATGGGCTCTGCATTGCTGCATTGTGTGGCACTTCTGCCTCCAGGGAGGATGGGTGACCCTGATGCTTGGGCTCTGCTCCCCATGCCCAAGCAAGGGAGAAAGTGGGGACAGTCAGGCAGTGGCTTAGTGCAGGGCCCAGCTTGCTGCAGGCCCAGTTCCCAAACTTTCCACGAGGGCCTCTTTCCCCACACTGGGAGGGGCCACAGCCTAGGCTAACGGCCTCTGAACCCCACAGGACCCTGGGCCTCAGTTCCCTTTCCTGTGAAAGGGTGGTAGCACAACCATGGGGAGGCTTCCGCAAGATGGCAGGGTGCAGCTATGCCCGTGGGGACGGCTGAGCGCGCTGGAGTCGCAGAGGGGAGAAGGTGATGATCACAGCCGTGCTGAGGGAAGACGGCGCCAGGCTGCGGCCCAGAGTGTGGGGGCAGTGGAGAGGCCACGGGCAGGTAAGTCAGGTCCCCAAGGCCTGAGCAGAGGGGAACTGTGAACAGGAAGCCTCAGGCGGAAGGGCAGAGCTCCACCTGGGGCCCAGGGAGGCTCTGGCTGGGCTCCAGCCCTGGCTCTCTCCTGGTCTGCGGGCGGGGAGAGTCAGGCCCCCCTCATGAAGAGAGCTCACCTCCGAGCAGCTCAGCCAGGGGTCCCCACTAGAACACCACGCCTGTCCTCAGCCTCTGGACTCAGCACTGGCCCTGCTCACCAGCTCTCCCTCCTCACCCTTTAGACATGTGCCCACTGGCTGCACCTTCACTCTGCTCCCCGCCCCCCCTTCAAGTACCTACCATGGGTCAGGCCTTCCAGAGTGTGTGGGCCCTGCCCCAGCCCAGGCCCAAGGAAGAGACCATCGGCTCCAGGGGTCGCTGCTGTTGGTGGGCTCTCCAGGGGGCTCTGAAGATCCGAGGAGGGATGGGGAAGGGGTGTCCTGGCTGGACTGGGGCATGGGCAGCTGGCCTTGTAGCGGGAAGGGTTTTCCCAGTGGCTCCCGGGAGGATTAGGGGCACAGCCAGCTCAGTTCATGGGGTGTCAGGAGCCGGAGGAGATGCCTCCTCCCCCGTAGAGAAGCCCACCCACTGAGCTTGCCTCCTCTGAGCTTGCCCCCAAGCCTGGTGTTGGTGGGGGCAGCCGTTCCTTCCTCCTTCCTGGCTGGCCTCTGTCCTTGTCCTGACCCAGCAGGCTAAAGGGGTAGAGCCGAGGCCCAGTGGCCCAGGCCCCCCACCAGCCAGTGGCAGAACCCCAATCCCATCAGTCCTCCTTCAGCACTTCAGTTTTGGGGGTAGACAAGCTCCTCGTGGCAACCCGAGTTTTGGCCCCCTCCCTACTGGAGGGCACAGGGAGCCAGGACAGTAGCAGAGAGTGGACACCATACCAGAGACCCCCAGAGAAGGGCCAGGGGGGAGCAGCCAGATTTAGGGAGCCTCCCACTCCTTCCATCCCCCCTTATGTGGGTACCTGCGCACCCCAAAGCCACAGGCTCCAAGGGAAGCCACAGGCTAGGGGCTGAGACAGCGCCCACCAGCTAAGAAGGGTTGGCATCCCCCGGCAGGACACCGTCCCTGGGGCCTGAGGGCCTCCATTCCCTCCATGGCCCCTCCTTTGCCCCAAGCAGGCAGGGCCTCCGGAAGGGACAGGGTTAAGAGCCTGGTGCCTCCCCCGTTCCTTTGAAATGGCTCCCTGGTTCCAGAATGACTCTGGCTTCCCCTCTTAATCTGTATTTTACGAGTGAGGAGCTTTGCATTATGCAAATCGTTAGATAGGAACAGGTGACATTTCAGCAAAGAACATGAGCAGGCGGCGGCCGGTGGCGGCCGATTTAGACATTAGTATTTGTCACCGGGGCGTGGGGCGGCAGGACTGGGCCGGGGAGGGCTCCTCACACCTTAAGGTGGAAGTCTGGACCCTGGACCGGCCAGTGCTGCCACACACCCTGCGCCACAGGACCAGGCTGAGATCCGCCAGGCTCCTCCCGGAGCTTGCTGTGCCCACGGCTGGGTCAGTGCAGCCCCCTGTACTGACGAAGAAGCAGAGGCCGAGGGAAGAGGACAGGACAGAGCCAGGAAGGGTCAGCCCAGTGGACAGCCCAGTGGATGTCACCTGCCCCCAGGGGGAGCCTGCCCCAGCGCCCTTCCCCTGCAGGGCCATTCCTCCCCAGGCTCTGCCCCGGGCCTGCACTCTCCCCCATGGCACGCCCACCCCTCTGTGCCACCTCCCACAGCTCCCCTGGGCAGGCGTGTGTGGCCGCCATCCATCATCCCTCTGTCGGACGCAGCCACCGTCCATTTCCCAGGAAGTTGCTTGAGAGGAAATGGACGAAAAGAGAAGCAAGCGCCACTGTACCCCGCAGAGAAGCCTAGAGCCCTTCAGTCCCCAGCCGCCTGCCAAGGCCTGCAATGCCCACCTTTGTCCCTGAGCTCAGAGGTCTGGGGGGCAGTAGGAAGACATGTGTGGCCCCCGGGGCCTCCCGAGGTCAGGGCTGGTGATGGTGGCCAGAGCACAGTTTCTCCAGGAGATCCACAGGGACTGGGCCATGTAAGGAACCAAAGTCACCAGCACAGACAAGGACACCAGCAGGCCCCAGCCCAGGGAGCAGTGAGCTCAGGAAGCCCTGTGTCAGGGTCCCATGGCAGCTCCCAGCGCCAGCAGGACTTCCGTGTCCTCCAGGTCTCTGCAGACAGGCCATCTGGAGCTCCCGCGCCGATGGGCAGCTCCGGCTCAGATGGCCCCTGGTCCCGGGGTGCATAGAAGGAGGAAGGAGCAGGAAATACCTGACCTGGAGGCAGGAGGGCAGCCCACCCCAGTTCTTGAGACAGCCCCTCTCCGAGTTCAAGGGACAAGCGGCATATTCAAGGAGCCTGGAGCCTGGGCAAGTTTCAGAGCAGATTAAGGGAGATTGCTTTGGATATCTTGGAACAGTGCTGCTTGACCACTGGACAAGGAGCCTCTGGCCATTGCTGGGAGGTGGCCTCAGTTGTGTTTCTGGGCAGGGTTGTAGTGCCAGGCTGTGGCTCTGTGGAATTCCTTGCAGTATTTCCTGTCTTCAGGTGACAGGTGTGACAGTGCCCTTGTTCATCTATCTGCCAGTATTGACATCGGTGACTCCACCCTGACAACCTTACAGGACTGCAGGGCAGGGACACCAAGGGAGAGGCTGTCCTCAAGCTGAGGCCAGAGGACTTGGAGGAAGGCAGTGTCTCGGGAGCCTGGGAGACTGGGAGCCCCAGCCCCACCCCGGCTTCAGCTGCAAGGAACCGCACAGTGCGGGGGGTGGGGGGGGGGTGTCCTTCGGGAGAATTGGGGGCAGAAATGAATACATGGGATCATGTGAGAGAGGAGGGAAGGTCAAGGGCCCTGAACCAGGAACAGCCCAGTGGATGTCACCTGCCCCCAGGGGGAGCCGGAGCCCTTGCTTGGATCACCCCCTCCCCCACCTGGTCAGCGCTGAGGGTGCTGAGGGGAGAGCTGGCTGCAGGTCGAGGGCTCTGCCCCCTTCCGAGCCCCACCACGCAGGCCCCTGCCCCAAAGCCTGCTGGGGCATGGAGTTGGTCTCTGTGGAACAGGCTCTCAGAGCCCAGAACTTTGAGTTCTGGATCCTGTGGGTGGGCTGGGTGTCCTTGGGGCGAGAAGAGAACGCTCACTGGCCCATTCCCAGCGAGCAGCCAGGGGTGAGGCAGCAGCGGATCCTCAAACATCCAGCAGCCTACAGCCGCTCAGCAGTCTGCAGGCCAGGCAGCAGGGAGACACGCAGGCAGCGGCCAGGAGCAGAGCACCCCATGAGCCCAGCACGGGCCCAGGAGGCTCACACCTGCCCACGTGGGGAGCGGAGGGCCTCACCCTGCACCCAGAAGGGAAAGACAGGGCAGGAAACGCAGCCTTCACCACCACGCTCCACAGCGTCCCTTGCCTGGCCCAGGATCCCCCAGGGCCCGTGCCCCCTCTGCACTCCTGCCATCTGGGGCAGGGCTCCCCAAACGACAACCCTACCATCCCCTATGGGGTTCCTGCTTCTCAAGTGTTGGTCCCTGTCCCCAAAGGGCATTCCTCCCCTCCTGAGCCCTTTCTCCACCCAGGCCACAGATCAAAGCAAACCCACAGCCCTGGGAGAAGTCAGAGCAGCGGGTGAGCACAGCATGAAGCCCCTAGCAGACCAGGCACCTTCCAGGGCACCCAGAGGCACAGCGCCCCAACAGGGTTGGGCACATGGGGTGGGAAGCCTACGGACAGGGTGCACCCCAGCTCAATGCCCAGCCGTTGCCTGGGCTGCTCTCTGAGTTGGGAGGCCAGCAGCAGAGCCAGGAGCTGTCCCCTGTAGCAGTTCAGAGTTATGCAGGCTGGTGACTGCCCTGACCCTGGGGCTCTCAGTGTCCCCTGTCTGGCATGGCCCTCTCTGCAGCCTTCTCCAGTGGATGGCCCAGGACACCAGCCTTATCTGTCCTGCAAGCCCCTGTGCAAAAAAATTTGGAATAAACAAAGACTTGAAAATGGACATGTAATTTTGCCTTTTGAAGATGTCCACACTGGTGCATTTGGCAGAGCGTGGGTCCCTCCCTGGTCTGCCCAGGAGCCTCACCCAGACCCCAGGGCCCTGCAACCCAGCTCCCCATGTCCCCCACCCTCTCCCTGCAGCGGTGTGTGGGGCAGTGTCTCTTTCCCAGGAGCACCCTGCTCTCCGCAGTGACATTTAAGATGAAAAGAAAGGGACAGTCCCTGCTCTAATAGTGTAGCAGGCCTGAAATTAGCATGAGAAAAGGAAACTGTCCTTATCAGGAGGAGTGTGGACGCTGCTCAGCTTCCGTTCCTTTGTCTATTGTCAATAATCACTTACCGTCAGGCCCATAAATGTCATTCTTGGGGTGCTCATAAACAGCCCGTCCCTTTTTAAATTAGCAGGTAGAGATATTTATGGGTTTCTATTAAGGTGATGATGGGGGAGTTGAGAGCCCGGTGGCCCCGATAAGGGAGAGGTTGGGGAGCGGCAGGAGGCAGGGAGCCTCGCCAGCCCCTGCACCCTCCCTGCACTCCTGAGGGCGCCTGGGAGGCTCCACGTGGGGCGGGGCTGTCCAAGGGCAGAGGCCACCCGCTGCTTGAGGGGTTGCATTTCAGTGTGGTCAGGGAAGGGGGCACACCCCCACCTACCCCCACCCACTCCCACCTGGGGGCTGGGCCTCAGCTGCTCATCTGAGAGGTGGGCGGAGCCGAGCTGCAGCCGAGCTGCCTTGGGGACAGCAGAAGGGCAGCTCCAGTAGGCAGACCCGCGCGCGCGCACACACACACACACACACACACACACACACACACACACACACACACGGCCCTCCATGAGCCCTAGCTCCGCCTCCCCCAGCTCCTCCCTCCTCTAGCTCCTCCCTCTTCACAGCTCCTCCTCCTCACAGTTCCTCCCTCCTCCTGCTCCTCCCTCCTCACAGTTCCTCCTCCTCACAGCTCCTCCCTCCCCCTGGCTCCTCCCTCCTCTAGCTCCTCCATCCTCACAGCTCCCTCCTCCTCACAGCTCCTCCTCCTCACAGCTCCTCCTCCTCCAGCTCCTCCTCCTCCAGCTCCTCCTCCTCACAGCTCCCTCTTATTCACAGCTCCTCCTCCAGCTCCTCCTCCTCCAGCTCCTCCTCCTCCAGCTCCTCCTCCAGCTCCTCCATCCTCCTGGCTCCTCCCTCCTCCTGGCTCCTCCCTCCTCCAGCTCAGCCCCTTACTCCTGACCCAGGCTTGATTCTGTTTCCACTTTCTGGGCAACTTCCTTTCTCTGGTCCAGGACCCCATGCTGCTCCTGAGGCCCTTCTGGTCTGGGATGGCCCTACATGGGGCACACTGGCTGGTGTCTGGTAGCGCAGACCCGGGGCTTGTCTTGCATTGTTTCCTGGTCAGCAGGTGCCCTTGTCACCTCCCAGCAGGGTCAGTGAGATACCTCAGGGGTCATTGGTCGTGTGGCCCAGATGACGTCTGCCAGGGGCCTCCTTGGGCAGGACCTGTGCCCTCAGTGCTCCTTGCCTGGGTGGGTCACTAAGAGCAGCCCCTCCCCAGGCGGAGTCAAGCCCCCTCCTGTGGGGTCTAACATTCTTCTTGGGTCTGGGAGAAAGACTGGCAGAGGGGTCCCTTTAAAACGGAGATGGCCTCCAATGCCCCATAGCCCTCATGCTCTCGGACCCTGAGGCCATACCCTGGCCCGTCACCTTGCAGACGTGGCTCACACAGGCAGGAACAGGAGGTGCCAAGGAGCAAAGGAGTGGCTGCACAGAGGGTGACCAGTGCAGGAGCAGTCTCCCTCAGTGCTGGAGCACCCACGTCCCCTCACGCTTGTGGCTGGACTCCCCCAGCCGCCACAGTGAGGCCAGTCTGCCTGAGCCCTTGGGTTGCCTTGTCCCTCCCTCCCTGTGGGTCAGCACACTTGACACAGAGGTTAAAAATGTGCAGCACACACAAGGGGCAGGCAGGACTCACAAAAATGCCCACAGGGACTTCAAGATGCTGGCCTCCTAAACTGTGACCCTGCACTTCATGACAATGTCAACAGTGGGGGCACCATGAGGAGGGAAGTCGAGGGGTCAGAGGTATGCACTGCCTGAGGCAGGCACGGAGGACTGGGTGAACGGGCAGGAGACCTTGGGGACTTGGGGGGGGAGGGCAGCAGGAAGACAGGAAGTGGGGAGGCGAGCATGCAGGGTGGGGCATGGGGTAGTGCCATGCGGGGCCCGCCCATGTGGGAGCCCAGACACATGGGCCACTCTCAGGTCCCCACCCAGAAATGACTGGCTACCCCTCAGGTCCCAAGCAGCCAATCTCCCTCCTTGCCAGAGTGACTAGTGGGAAGACAGAGTGAGGTGGCCACTGGGACCCTAGGGTGGGCTGGGAGAGAGATCAGTCTCTGAGGAACTTGAAGTCCAGAGGCCATCGCATGGCATGGGAGGGGAATGGCCCTGCAATCCCTGGCACACAGGGCCCTCCAACCCCTCTGTGGGGCAGCAGGGCAGGCCGGCCCTGCTGCGGGGTGCAGCTGGCAGCCCCGGTGGAGCCCCGGTGGAGCCCCGGGGGCAAGCGCAGGCTGCAGCCTCCTTCCTGGGCCACCGCAGTGCATCTCGCAGCTGGCTCCGCAGCCGACCACATTCCACCTTAAATGGGTTTGATCAGCGCTGCACCGGTGAGCGCATGCTAATATTGGCTCCAATAAAGAGCAAATCAGGACCCAAGTCGACTCGTCTTATCGCACAGTCAGAACTGATGGCTGCAGAAGTCATAAAGATCCCATTTAATCTCGCGCCTATCTATCACGCGGCCGTCTTCATCCTCTTTGTGCCGGGGTAATATGTGCTCATTACGGAAGCAAAACAGATCTGGCATGAATAAACGCGGATGGAGTGCTCACTTGGAACGTGACAGCATGATCAGTGGCGGCCGTAATCGCAGAGAATCGAGGGCTAAATTATTCCATAACCGTGATTTGAGGGGACAGCCCAGAGCACCCCACAGCTGCCTGCGGTGCAGCGACGTGTCCTGATAAAACATCCTTCCCAATTTACGGGGCCGCGCTTGACTAATCTGCCGCGGCGCGCACACTGGCTAATCATGCCATCAGTGCCGGAGAAGGGGCTCAATTGGGACTCAAATGAAAGGAGATTGGAGAACCACCCTCAATTGAAATTACATTTGTAAATGAGCCAGAGTTTTCTGTTCAGACTGTGAACGTTACGGTAAATCTGCCCGAGATGTCGTCAGCAGAGGGGTGGGCGGGTGGCGCGGGGGTGGCTGGGACGCTGCCTGAGACTGTAGCTGGGAGCACCCAAGGGGCTGAGGCCCCTGTTCCCAGCTCCCAGGAACTGCATTGGCCTGAGGGGCAGCTCTGGGAGAGGAGAGAGGCCAAGTAGGGGCTTGGGAAGCAGAGCCTGGTCTGCCAGAGACGGGCCTCAGCTTACCCATCTCTAAAATGGGGAACCAGCAGGGCAGGGCGAGACGGCAGACATGCCAGAGCCTGTGGGCCTCCCTCTGCCCACCCACCCCTGCACACCGGCCCTGGCCACCTCCTTCTGTCCCATTTCCTACAGGCTTATATGTCTCTCTGGTCCCTGTGACCCAGGCGTGTGGTGCAGGCCCATCCCACGGCACAGGGTCAGAGCAGGCAGTGTGTAGAGGCCCGTGGGGCTGGGGACAGGAGGCCCAGGAGCTGGGCCCAGATCAGTCGGAGAGGTCATGACCCAGGAAGCCACACATGAGCCTGTGGGGGACACTCCAGGAGGTGACCATCCTGCAGGTTGCCTGGGGACAAAGTAAGCCTGGGCTTGAGGCACACAGGCAGCAATGGGGAGCCTGGGAAAACCTGGGGGGGCACGGGCAGGGACCTCAGTGACAGACCTGCCAGGCCCAGGTGGCAGCACTGCTCATGCGCCCACCCACCCCTATGCCCTTGGCAGTGGGGTAGCGGCCCATGTCCAGCCACCTCCCCAGGGACACTCGGTGAGGAGACTGCGGGACAGAGGAGGGGAGAAGCTGGCCCTGGAGGTGGCCACACAGCCATGACCCCAGGAAAGGGCCACCCAGGTGGGTTACTGGGCTGTTTGTCCCCTCCCCAGATGGTGGCAGAGTCCCTGCAGTGGGTGGGCAGACCAGGGTGGCAGTGGAGCCCAGCCAGCTGATGTGGCCAGGCCTGTGGCCACAGAGGTCTCTGCCTGCTCTGCGGGGCTCCCTGTGCTGCTGGCCGTGTGGCCCCACGGCAGGCAGCGAGCAGAGTGGCGCATCACTCCTCTTTGGCCTTTATGTAAATCAAGGCCTAATTAGCCCATCGGGCGTTTGTGTAGAATATCATTTTTTTAATTACCAGCCCTGGGCAGGTTTGGCTGCTGCCTGTTGTGGGGCCAATTACCATAAATCCCCCGGTAACAATTAACAGTGCTGGCGGCCGCTGCGCGGATCCGGTGTTATAATTGTGCTCCCGCTCTTGTTAATTGCCCTATCTGACTCTTTACTTTTTATGCCGCTCATCTGCTCATTACCGCAGCCATTTAATTCAATTAGCGCCTTAATTAGAGGAACAGCCTTGTCCAATGTCGGGGTCTTGTCAGGGAGCGGCTTGATGAGCAGAGACAAACAGGCCTAGCTTGCGCCTTGGAGGCAGCAGGGCCTGGGGGCCGGGGGGCGGGGTGGGGCTGCCCGAGAGGCGTTGCCAGCCCCCTTTGACCCTGCCTGTCCTAGGGGTCCCCGGAGGCCACAGGAGCAACCCCATCCCTGCTCCACAAGTGCCATCCGCCCAGGACGACCTTCAGGAGGCTCGCAGGTCTGTCCTACCCACCCCCTGGCAGACACTCCAGGCCCACGCCCACCCTGGACGCTCCCCCAGATGGGCACTGTGTCCAGGGTGGTTTTGTTTTGGGCCAGTCCATTGAAATTGCTATTCCCTGCCTATTAATTCTCCTAATTAGAATTAAATGAAGCATGCTAAATTGCTAGATTAACCAATAATTAAGCAGCCATCGCACTAAAACTGAGTACCCGTGTGGCGGGCATCCTCCTCAGCTCCTGTGCCAGGGCCCGGTGGACACAGGCCGAAGGACCTGCCCACAGGCAGGTGACTGGTGAGGCTGCAGCCCCGCCCTGCCAGAGCCTGCCCAGGGGTGAGAGCACTTCGCGTGCCCACACGTGTGCAGACGTGTAAACGTGTGTGGGAATGCGTGTGGCGGGGAAGCCACACACGAGCCTGTGGGGGACACTCTAGGAGAGGACCATCCTGCAGGTTGCCTGGGGGCGAAGTGAGCCCGGGCTTGAGGGAAACAGGCAGCAATGGGGAGCCTGGGAAAACCTGGGGGGGCACGGGCAGGGACCTCAGTGACAGGCGTGCCAGGCCCAGGTGGCAGCACTGCTCATGCGCCCACCCACCCCCAACGCCCTTGGCAGCGGGGGCAGCGGCTCAGACTAGGCAAGGAACATGAAAACACCCCCCACTACCCAGGAGGGAAGGGGCAGGCGGAGGGTGCGCTCCAGCTGCCACCGTTACAGCCCCACGCCTCAGCAGGGT